TGTACTTTTGGCAACTAAAAAAATTTTTGGTCGTTAATTCCACAACTTTTGGCGACTAAATTTTTGTTGGTCGCCAAAGGTATATTTTGTTATAGTGAATGCATAGAAGAAGAAATGACAAATGAATTTGATTTTCTCATTCAAATTTATCAATATGAAATATATTGACGTGAAAGAAAAAATTGGATCTTCAAGAAGAGATCCATTTTCTTGGTGAAGAAAATTTTCAAGTTGTTACTTTATTATCATATTATTTAGTAGAAGAAAAAATATACCATTTAATTGGTGTGATTCATCAATTTGATATGAAAATTTGCTAATGGAGACATGAGTTATCAACCATTCTTATCAAGTCTTTAATGACTGAATTTTGTGGAGTTTTACAAAATGATTTCAAGTTTTTTATGACTAAAATTGATGAAAAAATAACTTCATCAATGGCTCGGGGAGTTCAAGAGCCCGCTTTTAAAAAGCCAAATTATAAAATTAACATAACAAAAGAGCATGTTCTTGAGTCAAACATGGCTAAGAATGATGTTCCATATATGGCTCGAGAGGTTCATACATTCACTTGTAGAGAGTCAAGTCATGAAAAGCTTGTTAGGGAACATGTTTTTAAATCAAGTTTGGTTAAAAATGATGAGGAATCCATGGTTAGTGGATTTAAAATTTTTGATGATGTGAAAAATGTCAAAATATTTGAATTTCCAAAACTACCATATATCATTATCTTCATTGTTCAAAATCCATTTTGAATTTGTGGTTCACATCAAAATTTAATTTTGATGATTTTGATGAAATGGTGAACAAAATATCAAAGTCTAGAAAATATATTTGTTGAGTTTTTTCCTATATTTTCAAAATGAGAAGCATGGAAATGACCAATAATAATGGTACTGGTTATTTTCATGGTTATATGTGAAATAGTTGCCAATACAAATTTACAGTTGGCCAAGCAAGAAGAAGCTCTGTAGAAAACACAATGAGTTCACATGTTTGTTGTTTTCTACCATGTAATGTGAAAAGCATCATTCTTGACCAAAAATTGGTCTTTGCTATGTATTAGACATGACGTTTTTGTACTCCAAATTGTCTTCAAAGTGGATATGTAAACAACTATGATTTTGGTTTTGTTGTTGGTCACGTGTATGCTTCGAAAGCCCTTTTTTTCATAATTTTTTAGCTTTCGAAGCACTCCATCTTATATCAACAACAGCTTCAACGAAAAAATAATAATGGTTATGAACTTTCCAAGCTTTGCCGAGTATTTCCAAGGATGTAATTAGTCTTTTGTCGGCACCTTCAACATTCAAAGGATGATTTTGGCCCTCTAGTAATACCTTTAGATGATGATTTTCATCCTTTGAATTACAACTCTTCAAGAATTCGAGACGTCTCATAATTTTTTGCCATGATATTGGTTGCTGTCAAGTGAGACATTTTCACATGGAGGTAAACTTCGAATCATTTCAGAGTGGCTTGTAAGCATTCTGAATTAGTTTCGAAGTAGCTCCAATGAGGCTTTCATATGTCCTTCTTTATAATGAACCTTCTAGTAAGCTTCGAATGGTGCTAGAGAAGTTTTGAAGGATTTCGAAAGAATTTCGAAGAGGTTTTTTATAATGAGCATAGTAGTGTTGCCATGTCATTGAAGTATTAGCCATGATTTTTGGACACCATACACAGTGAGCGCATACATTCATTGATTACGAATTGGCGTCTCATATTGAAATTTTGAACTTGCCACCTAAGAAAGTACAAAACTTCTACTCATGACTCATACCAAATATGATTGGTATGTGTTGTGTCCAAATCAAATTGGTGAATTGATCACTTTGAAGCACTCATATTGAATTTGAAACATATGCCTTTAGTGTAGCGTCCCTTCGAAGCACTTCGTTGGTGTTGTTGTGGTATTTAAAGCACTTTATTACTCATGTCAATTATGTGCATGGTTCGGCTCTTCAAAAATTCAAATAAACATCAAAGAGCCACGAGGGGTAATGTTGACACCATAAATAGTAATATTATTATTATTATTGCAGGACACATGGCACTTTCTTGATCAATTAAGAGTTAAGAAAAGTTACAAAGTTAGTGGTCTTGCATAGTGGAACATGAAAGACAAGGTGGAAAAAGTTAAAACATATGTGGAGAATATGATGGATAAAGTAAATTAGTGGAAGACATGGAGGGATATGTGGCATTGTGGGAATGAAAGTGGAAGAGTGAGTAATTTTAGGTGGTTATTAGATAGTTATTGCTGAAAATTTTTTCCTATAAATAGCCACTAATGGCTACATTTACAGAGACCCAAAACTAGAGCCAGAAACTAGTTTATTTACTTTACATTTTCCAATCCTTTAAATTCCAGTCTTTTACTTTCCTATGCTTCACTTCAAATTCCTAGGAGTAATTCTAAATTAGTCTGTTGCTATAATCCTCTTCGAAGCTGTGAAAGTACGAAGGTACAATTGTAAACTCTTGTTTATTTAATGAAATTTGATTACTGACAACTGTTTCTCCCTCTTTCTTTTATTTTTATGATTAGTTTTCTAAGTTTTCTCTTAAAAATAAACCACCAATAAAAGCTCTATTCATTGAGGCTAAAAGAATTTTGAAGCAATCGTCTGGTTAATTGGTTGGCATTTAATACTTCTATAAAGACTATTCTTACTGGCATGCTTAAATTACATTTTTAACCTTTAAAAGCCAAAAAGCCAACAACAACCTTAAGATTTGTTTAAAATATGAATTGTCCCTTATGATTCTGAAAATTATTTCTCACCCCTTAAAGTTTGTAATTTCATAACAAATGACTTTTTTATTAATAAATTATCAAATTAATTAACAGTATTTAATGATATCAAAAATATATTTCAATTGATAATTCAAGTAATTTGATTACTGTATATGATAACAACTATGAATTTCATTTTTTCAATTAATTTTGTTAAATAAAAAATTTTAACAAAGAAATATTTATAATTTTTCAAATCATAAAAAATAATTTATATTTTAAGTAAATCTCAAAGTGCAAATCGTAATTTATTCTTTTAATTATTGTAAATTTGAAATTGTCGGCCAATAAAACAAAGGTCATTGACTTGCCAAAGTCTTGGTCTTGAGAGCTAGCTTTATTTAACACCGAAATTAAATTGTCTTGTTTTTGCAAAAGTCATTGTGTAATAGTTTTATCCTCATGGAATGGGAGTGGTTGTATATTGAATAAAATATATTTATAAAAAATAAAATTAATTGGACATATCTTTCATTGCATTGTATTTATATTCAGTTTTATATTTCATATGATATTTATGAAATATTTTTTTAGATACAAATGCAATTTCATGAAAAGTTTTTGATATTCAATCAACGTAATTTTTTTATAAATATATTTTATTAGATATATTCTAAAAATTGAATAATTCAAATAATCGAAATGAGTTTCAAAAATAGACCCCAAAATTCATACAATAATGACTATTGTGCCAGCATAGCAGCCACTCCAATTTCTATCTTTATCTATGATAGATAGATTAAAATATATATATATATATATATCACACGCAAACGTAGAAACTAAAAATGTTAACCATTGTTTTCCAGTTTACCCAAAAGAAAAAGTGGTCGTTTTTGACATATGCTTTATAGACATACCATTAGCCAAGATTGAGATAGTTTAGTGAGGTTGTATATATTTTAAAATAGAAAATAATATTTGTTACTAAATCTAGTTTACTAATTTTTAACCTTTTACGTGCTTAAATATTTGTTGCGGATAGATCTAAGCTCTAACGTAAGAGTTTAAAAAAAAAAAAAATTAGATTCACTAATCAATCGTATGGTGCAATCCTCTAAGGTCATGTTTGATTCACAATATTAATAGTGAAGTATTAATAGTCCTAGTAAATTAGTGTGGTATTCACTATCCAATTGGATTAATATCCATTGGATTAATAATCCCACCCCTACCCTATTACTAATAATCCTACAAATTTGTTGGATTAATTATCCATTGGATTAATAATCCTAAACAAAAATGTTAAAACAAATATAGGATAATTGGGCCCACGAATTAATAATCCTAATTCCACACTCTAATCCACCCAATCAAACATGCCCTAAAAGAATAAATGGGCAATCCTGTAATTTAATCCCTACCTGTGCTTGGGCCATGATAAGTGCCACTCTTCATTGATGTGGTGAGCTGCCCTACCCTATTTGGGATCCTTTAGGTCAATAAAGAATGATGAACACAAACCCCAAGGCAAGTGGCAGGGTGGTAAAGCCTGGAGGATAAAATTCACAGGTCTCGAGTTCGAGTCACACCTTGGGGCCACTGGAGGTTTGCCCGGTCGTTAACTTCAGGGCCCTGAGATTAGTCGAGGTGCGCGAAAGCTGGCCCGGACACTCAGTTATCAAAAAAAAGAATGATGAACACATAATTTTTTTTCTTAAAATTAAAAAATATAAATAAAAAAGCGAATCATTTATAATACTTATATAACTTTACAAATAAATAATCATATTTTTTAAAGATAAATATAATAAAATCATGTCACAACGATTATCAGTTCAATCATTTTTTTTCAATATTTTATACAAATAATTTTTAAAAATGAACAAATTTAATTATTAAAATAAAATCTTATCGAACCCACAAGTCTTAACAACACACATTATTAGAAAAATGATAAATTATTTCATATTCTTTGTTCAAATTTCATTTACTGATTGGCATCTTACAAATTATTTAAAATTCAAAACAAAACAAAAAAGTGATGAATTTAATAATTTATACCCAAAAATTAATAATTTAAAATGCCTCTTAAACTTTTTTAAGGAATATTTGAATAATTTATAAATAAATAAATAAATAAAAAGAATACAAACATGTAAATGTGAACACATATATGCCTCGGAGACATTTCACTAGGTAAAAGTCACCATCATCATTCACTCAACCAAGGCCGGCTATTTCTTGTACCCATTTTTTTTTTTTTTTCCTGAACAAGGCTATTTCTTGTACCTCTCTTCACATCTCTCTCCCTCTCTGCCTCTCTCTAAACTGATAAAAAGGAAAAAAAACTTTGTTGTAACTTTGCCAAGATAGAAAGAAAACAAGGGTTTACAGCTTACACATCAAAGAATGAGCAACAAAGAGGGTTCTTCTAGTGCATCTATGGCTAACAAGATTGTAAGATATGAAGAGTGCTGCAAGAATCATGGCGCTCGAGCTGGCAAAAGCGCCATCGATGGGTGCAAGGAATTCATGGCTATGCTCACGAATCCACTTTATTGTGATGCTTGTGAATGTCACAGAAACTTCCATAAAAAAAAAGTTGTTGAAGATGGGGAGGCTAGTGATTCAGAGGTAATATTTTGAGAAAATTATTTAATAATCCCAGAGTATCACGTGTTTGTATTTCTTAACCAATCATTATTTAATATGTCTCATCATGTTCTCGAGTCACCTAACACAATACACCATCTACTCATCTTCTCTATCAATCATAATACTATAAAATACCACGTGATCATATTCCGAAATTACTGAATAATTACCCAATATTTTGAGGTATCTTGTATTTGTTATATGTTTTCGATTGCTTTTTGAATCATAAATTTGGATTTTTCACAAAAAATAATTGTATCATCTGGAAACTGCAGATGCGAGATGTTCCATCTGCAATTGTATCATTTGCACTTCCCTTCTTTATTGATGTATTTCGATACTTGTTCTTTCTTATTTCATCAATAAATAAAGTTCCCCTCTTTCTTTGTTGATAAAAAAAAATAAATTTGGATTTTTTTTTCCATCAAATCACTATCTAAATTCACGAGTCAAATGAATTAGAATATTATAAGAGATTTTGTTCTCTTTCTCTGTCATGGACATCAGCATCCCGTAGAACTCTATATATATATATATATATCCCAGTGTTCGTGTGTATTTGTTCTACTGCTTTATTGTGCGATTGAAATCACGATTTTGCACAACAGGCTATTTATGAAAATTGTTGCAAGAACCATGCAATACGTGTGGCAAAATTTTCATATGAAGACGGGTGCTTGGAATTCATGCCAAGCGAAGGCGGCGACAAGGCTGAAGACTCCAGAGCTAAGCTTATCTGTGCTGCTTGCGGCTGCCACAGGAACTTCCATAAAAGAAAAGTGGGGGAGAAAGTTGTTCCTAGGCGGTCGCCACCAGTTTACTATGGTGGCGGGTATGACAGCGATGACTATTAATTGAGACTAAATTACCACACAATATTTTCTATTCTCAAGTCTATGCTTCTATCTTAATAAACCCTTAATAATTTGATCTTGTAATAACATTATTATGTTTATAGATTTCTATGTAGAATAAAGCTTGCCTCAGACTGGAGGGTTCAGTTTGCAAAGATGTGAGCCTATCTCGGGCCTATTCTGGTGCTACAAACAGTTCAACTTGTCGGATCAATTGAGGATACTATTCATGAAAAAAATAATTAATTTGATGGGATATCAATAGGTACATAATCTATTTATATTTGTATTAAAAATATAAATCATTTATTTTTTGTATAAATAATTTGTTTTATAGATTTTACAAATTAAATAGTGAATCAAAACGAACCTAAAATAGGCTCACAGTCATGTAAATAAACGCTCAAAAACTTTGGTTTTTTTTTAACGAAATTCTATGATTAAAAATTAAAATATAGTAAACATATGTTGTCTCTATTATATATATCATATTATATTCATTATCATACTTAAATTTCTCCTCTTATATAAACAGCATTGTATACATTATTATAACATTCGATATAATATTTTCCTTCTCTCTCTTAGATATTTGTTGGCTTTTTGGCTTTCGAAGGTTATTATTGTAATTTTGAGCGTGCCAGGAAGGATCAATCAGTCCTTACAGAATATTAAATACCAACCAATTATCAGACGATTGTATTTTAGTTCTTTCAGCCTCAATGAAAAGTACTTTTACTGGTGACTTTATTTAGGAGAATTAATATGAAGAACAATTGTAATATTTCATTAAGTAAAATAGAAGACTTACAAAGATCCAAATCAGTCTCGTAAAGGTTTATAGCAATAAACTATTTGAAACTACTCCTATGAACGAAGTGTAGTGTAGGAATTTAAAGCACAGAAATGTAAAAACTGGAAGGAAAATAAAGTAGATAAAACTGATTTTTTGGATCTGAGTCTAGGGGCTCTTTCTGGGGCCTTCTCTGCTATTTATACTTCCCAATGACAACCGTCGAAATCATTTCTAACCGTCGAATCATCCCTCTATGATCGCTGATCATGTTGCCTTACAGTTAGCTCCACTATATCATATCTGCAGTTAGGCTTCCATCCTGATTTTGAATTTAAATATGAGTAACCGTTGAAGCCACGTCATTTTGCATCTCTTTGTTGATGCAGTGCTATGCAGATCTACAATAACCAATACTAATTGCCACGTGTGTGATTACGATTGAAAATTTGAATTGTCTTCCCGTATTGCTCTCATCCTGCCACGTGTCAAACTGTGATTGGCTTATACAAAATATGTAGCCAACATTACCCCCCGCACTAATATACCCAATACTTGGTGATATTAGTAGATCAAGGTATTTTACTCACGTCTTAGAACGTGCATGGGTTTTTCACTTTTCAAAAATGCAATCGTCATTCATCAATGAAACATTTGCATTAAATTCTCTTCTAACCCTTGAACACTCCCACTATCTTGGTATTCGAAAAGACTGGTACATCTTTTATGGCCAAGCAAGTTTTTTCTTACCTTGATCAAGCATACGAAAAGTTATTTGATGATGTTATTCGTCCTCAAAAGAACCTTCATGCATTGATTAGCCACCTTTATCCACCCCAATTTATACAAGTTATGGAAGGTTTTGCAAATCACCGACCTTCAAACCAAGGACCTGCTACTTACGATTCTTTGGAACACAAATTTGCAGTCATGGACATCGGAAGCTCTTCTTCTGCAACAAAGCATTCCTCGTGGGATGAAGCTGCTGCTTCTTCTTCTTCTTCTTCTTCTACGACTTCTGGTTGGGGAACTTGGCCTACCCCTACTCAACCTCAAACGAGGAAACGTATTCATCACCGATTCCCAGAATTCGATGACCCTCTTGAAATCCCTCATTCTAAACACAGTTCTGTAGTATATCCATATGTTCCTATTGACCGTATACGCAATCTTGAGGACAATCTGCTTTTATCATGGTATACTTCTACCTTGCCATCTCGAATAGTTCAAAGTGTCCAACGTCCTGATGAAGCTTTAGGGATCAGTCCTGCGCTTTTAGCCAAAAAAAAACAAAGCTTTATACCTCCGATTCGCTAGAATGTGTGGCCAGACCTGAATTCCTAAATTCGATCAGGGAACCTCCGACTGCTCCTCCTCTGTCTTCCAATCCAAATTGGATTGATGAATTGAGACTCACTCTCTCTGAGGGCCAATACTTCAGCCCCTATCAGGCCCCAGTGTCTCCACTCCTTATCAGCAATTTAGGGCTCAGACCTTGCTTGCTGCTTTTTCCCATTTATCCTTTGAAGTCCTTCGAGATGACATTCTCCACAAAAACTTTCTATGGGCTTGTGACATTATGTCTCGAGTCATCTTCTCAACCCTGTGGCCCAAATAAAGCTTTATACCTTTTAGACCAACTTCCTATCCTGCTCAACTGACACTTCCAGGCTTCCATTACCAGTGAAGTTCTGGATGAAGCCTTCTCTGCTCGAATTCAGGTTCAGTATGAGGCAGAGAACCTCCTTGAGAAATATGAGGCCTTCAGGAGCCAGGTTTCTGAGCATGGAGAGGATGTTGCAATGAACGAAATGCATGAATAAGAGGAGATAGACGCCACAAATAAAGCCCTAAAATAGATAGAATTCGAAGTGAAGGCCCAACAACTCACTTCTCAATTAAAGGGCTTACCAATTAGATAAACCAAATCTGGACAAGATAGAGGATAGAGTAGGAAAAGAGTATTCATTTGAATTTTGTTGGACTAAATTCCATGATCTTGTAACTCTGTCCATTTCATATTTCTATGAAATTGAGAATGTAATCAAATGAATCCCGATGTAAACAGCACCTATCAATAAAACTAGGCTTTCCAAATTTCATTTGTCAGACTCTGACTTACCACTCCAATTGTAAACTTAATTGTATGGTTGATGTGAAATCTTCAAACTCAAATCCTCACTTAAACTCTTCTGAAGTGTGAAATTTTCTTTTTAAGAAAACAATTATTGCCTTACATACCAATTCTAGGATTAACATAATTCTTCAGCTCTTAGCTTTGAATTAACCAACTTTGTCCTTTGAAACTTGATTTAAACACATCCAATGAAATATTGGAAGTCCAATTTGAACTTTTCCAACATATGGAATGTAATTGACAACTTTTGTTGGTTTTCTTTCAGAATCAGAGCTTCGAATTTATCAATTTTGCCCTTTGAAACTTGATTTGATCATGACCAATTCCCCAACATATAGTTAATACAAGCAAGTGATTTTGAATCAACTAATTTTGTTTCGAACAAACAGTCTATACTTTCCAACATATGGAAACCTCTTTTAAGGACTGTATTATTTTATTCTACGAAAGTGATTTCTTCTGTGTACTACCAAACCAACTATTGGTTTAAAACCTAGACCAAACAAATTCTAGCCGTAAGGTATTTCAAATTTTGCATCGAAGGCTTTTACTTTCATCAAGAAACCTAAAAAACAGATCTTTAATCTCTTTGAAGTAAACAAAATACCTAAGTATTCTTGCACCCTTAGGTGTGGAATGTCCCTCGAAGCTGACTTCCTGCTTTCGAAGCCATTTGTCAGTTGATTTTGGCGCCAAAACTTGGCTTCGAAACCAAATAGTTTATTTCGAAGCTAACATTAGGTTTTGAGATACATTTCCCTCTATAACTATCAACTTTGAGGGAAATTTTTTCGCACGCGTACCTTTAATACTTCTTTACGAATTCCGCCCGTATAAAATGATTGGGTGTTTTTTCAGACAGAAAGGTTTAAAAACTCTTTTATTTTGCTCCCAATCCACTTGGTCATTTAACACACAAACCCTTCATCCTCTGTTGGCTTTCTCTTCCCCTTTACTCTATTTCCCAACTTCATCTTCTGAGAAGACTCTCTATCAATGGCCTCTTCTTCCTTGAAAGTACCGGTTGTGGGGCGCGCGAGTCCATCCATAGCCTTGAAAAGGATCATTGATGAGGAGTGTGAGAAGTACAAGGCTGGTGAGAAAAGTGTCATTGACGGACACATCTTCATTCCTCGTCGTCATGAGCAACAAGAGTATGTACTCGGCCCCATTTTTAGGGAGATTTCCACTGAGCTTCCAGCTCTGTATCCACGTCTAGAAGATCATTGTCTCCTTTATGAAGGTAGTCTTGATTGGGGAAGCTAGAAGGTGAACCGACCCCATCCCTGCTGGCCCATAGTGAGACTAGAGTGGGAGGAATGATATGACCGAGTCGTCCCTGATAAAACACTGGATCTTCAGGAGCTCTGCCACTTCGACGCCGTCCAATTATCCAAGTTAACCATTTCGGAAGACCCTTTTTTAATACCTGTTTCCCTTTGTTTTTGGAATTCTGCTTTTAATTTCTTTCAGTTCAGATGTGGGATAATGGCTCATACTATCCTTGATATCTGTCATCTGTTACCCTACTGGCACCCCCATTGGTCCAGACTATCCTGACCTCAAAACCCCTTTTTCCCTCCCCTTTCTGAACTCATCCTATAATGACTTTGTCAAGGCTGAGAACAAAAGAAAGGGCCCTGTGACTGATAAGGAATTTTTCTTTTTTATATTGTATTGACTTTGCAAGTTCCTCTTCTACACCTCTTCTCAGAAGATCATGCCTGAATTTGCCCCTCTTGCCAAAGCTCTTGTTTTACAAAGAAAAGTGGCCTTAGTTCTATATGTTCTAGGCCATGTTTATAGAGCTTGCTCCTTTTCTTTTTTTTTTTTGAAAAACCCTTGAATGCCAATCAAGGAGGCCCATTTTGGATTCTTCAACTTTGACTTTTTGCATATTTCACCGAGTTACAATCTAAATTCTTAAAGTTTTTGGAACCAAACCCTACCACTCATGGCATGAAATTAGCCAATGTTTCGCTCTATCATTCCACCTTTGCTTTTTACCTTTCTTTCTTCTACCAACTCCCAGCTTCCCCTTCTTCTCACAGCTTTCGTCCCTTCAAACCTACCAATATTGGCCCATCCTGGTTGAGGACTTTCTTGAGTGATAGGTCCTGTTCTACACCTCAGCATAAAAACATGTGGGCCTCTATTTTGATTCCCAAAGAATTATTCATTAGGACTATGAACCCCAGAGCTTACAAATGCATCGCTGAGCCCTATTGTCCTGCTCAATTTGCTAGGCAATTTGAATTCTCACAAGGGGTCCCAATACCTCTCTGCAGTCAAACCAATTTAA